ACTGTGAAAGATGATTGTCTCACTACTGGGGAACATCAGGCTCCGGATCATTTTTCAGGGACAAATGGGTTTGCTGTAAGGATGCAACCTCTCTGTTCACTCCTACAGGAATTATGTCAGATAGCATGCATTCAGAAATAGGCATGTTTAGTTTCTGAAAAAGGATCATGATTAATCTATTCAACGGCAGCCATGTAGAAAGACTGCTATTTACAAATACATTCTATTTTCGCTGGACTTTTTAACAAGAGCATCTTACAACCAAGAGATCCTGAAATAATGCAGGACACTCAAAGACAGGCAAGAAAGATATACAGTTAAAAATGCTGAAAAATAAATCACACGATCCATGAATCTTTTTCTTTTCCTGTAGCTTCTTAGAGATGCAAGCTCTTCAAAGCAATTCATGCAAAAAACTCAAAAGGTTAAGCTAAGTGGGTGAGCAGGCATTAAATATTCAACGCAAGTTATGTTCATGCCGGACACCAAAACCTAACCATCAGTGCATGTCCCTTTTTTCTACCTTGAAAAAATAAACAGGACAAAATATATTCTCAACAGGATTAAATTGCAAACAGCACAACACACAGTTGTCAAGGCTATCTGTCTCCAGATCCTCAGTGCTCTCTGTTCCATCAACACCACGCCCACAAACTGCGAGAATAATCACTGCCAAAGCTACACCCGAGGTGATTACATAACATTTTTCTAAAAAGCTGAAAAAAAATATTTAAACAGGAGTAACAGAAGTAAAACACTGCTTACCTTACAGAAAACGGGTTTCACTCTTGTGGATTTTCTTTTACAGCAATACGCCCAATACAAGTATGTACAACACTCCAAGAAAATTTGACAAAGCATAAAATTGTTCACTGTCTTCAAATTATCCTTCTCTCTTTTCAAACATATTTGACAGAGTAAATCTTTGAAATTTCCCTAGGACTTTCTGATACCTTTCTATTTCAAAAGGACAAACTATTTCAGAGATCCATTTAGAGACCTATGCATCCTTGGAATGAGGAAGGAAAAGTTGACAGTGCCACCGAACAACTAGTATCCGAAAGAAATTCTCTTAATCCTGAGCTGTAAAGAGTGCTTGAAGATTACTGCCCGGATCCCTTCCGGAAAGAAAGGCTTATCTTGTCTGCATAACAGTCTTTAGACATTTTAGAGTGAAATCAACTTTCAAGACAGAGAAAAGAAAACCACGCAAGCATGCCTACATTTGGATCAGAAGGCACATCCCTGAGAATCAAAGCCCTTGTTTACTTACATGCTGTACATAGAAAGGAAAAGTTCAAAGAAACCTGCACCCTCTGGGAGAAATGATTCCATCTAAGTCGGCTGCTGGGAAATGAGTAAGACACGCGTTCTCTCTCACTCTCATCCCAGGCAGTGAAAAAAATCCCAAACTGTTCTTTCAAGTCACATTCACAAGGGCTTCCTAGCGCCACCAAGCTCTTCCTTCAAGGCAGCCTGGGGGTTGGGGAAGGCTCACCCCCTTGCTCTGGATTTCCACCCCATGCCCTGAACCCGCCTGCTCTGGGAAGGTGCCGGGTTAGGGCACACAGGGAGACGGCAGGACCACCGAGTGCCACATCTGCAGAGCCAGCTCAGAGGGCGACGAACAAGGCAAGCGGCACTTCTGTGGGGACTGCTTTACACACCTCAAGTTCCCAGGACAAACCAGAAACTCCTTCAACCCCCTCACTTCCAAAAGAACTGTTTATTCCTTTCAGGCTCCAAACTATTGCAGTAGTGCGAGCTGACTGCTAACAATATTGAAAAAAAAAAAATTCCCCAAACCGGAGAGGTTGACAGGGGCACACAAAGAGCTGTGACAGTAATAGGCACCCTTGAGGAGAATGGCGGCAATCAATTATGAACCATTTGCAGAAATTGCGGGGCTGTCAAAAGCCCTACTTACAGCTGTGCTTCTTCAAGCCAGGCTGCATTTGATTTTCAAGGGACATTATTCCTGATTCTCAGGTATAGAATATTGTTAGTAAAAATACCCCAAACAGCCCAGGTTCAACCAGGGTCTTATCTGAAAAGAAGTTAATGACCCTTGAGAAGGTTGACGGGCCAGCATGAGAAGCCCAGGAACCAGAGACAGGTCTCCCCTCTGGGGAGTGACCACCTCCTGTGGGCACCATGGGACAGCGCCAGGGCCATCCCGAAAGACCCAGGACCAGCACCCGCTGGACAGGCACCCTAAAACTCCCAAATCACCGTGTGGAAAATAGGAAAGCATTGCTTTTAGATATAACCTGCTGTTTCTAGGAGGCTAAAGATAATGAGAGAAGAGAAATTTTATTTTTTAATTCTTCAAAACTTCCTTTTCACTACTATCCATCACAGCGCTCACTTTGGATGATCACAGATTCTTTTTTCCCCAAGGAACAAAGAATATGTAAACCGAGTAGCTGCTAGGCATTCGCTAGGATTTTTTTTAAATATACTGAAATCCATTATTATAGATAGATATCTTCAAATTTGAAAAAGGTGAGCTGATAACTACTCTAGACTTGAGAGGAATCTGACAGCAAATGCTTAACATGCTAATATTCTTTAATATTTTTTTCTTCTGTGTTCCTTGATATCTTTTGCTTTTTCCTTTAATCATCTTAGCAATGAAAATTAGGGCTCAGAGAGCTCCAATTTCAAGCTGAACTGCAGTTTTCACTCCTCTTCTAAATTTCTAACTGATGCTCCAATGTTCATCTTAAAAACCTTTGTTTAGTTACGATAGGCATTAAGTAATAGAAATGGAAATAGCCTCAACATGGTAACTTCCTGCAGATTTATTTGATTGAATCTTCACATAAAATAAAACCTGGAAAAGAATTTAATTTCCTCCTTAAGAATTTTAATGGGGAACTCAAACATCGTAACAGAGAGGAAACCATTATCCCTAATGGCGTTAATGATCTCCCCAAAGCTGCCACCTGCGACAGTGCCGCACAGCCACACTGACCTTAAATAGAGAGCCTAGCTTCTTGAGTGTTGCCTTAGCGTTCTCCTTTTTTAAAAAGGTCAAGACAAAGCAATCCAAACGCATCTATTTGATGCTCTAGGATCCACTGCTTCCAAAAAAACGATGAATTTGAGCTACAATATTGGGTTCCCACAAGTAAATAACCACCAGAGAGAGAACAGAGCAGAAAGACTAAAAATGCTGATGACTGCAGTTTAGTAAAAGAAATTGCTTCCTGGGGGCATAACCAGGCCAGTGAAAGTAGCTGAGTATTTGGTTTGTATGAGGAACTGAGAAGAGAGGAAAGGGAGATTTTGGAGGAGGTGGCTAGGGAATGGGGGGAGGAATTCAGGGGGTAAGAAAGGGAAACAGAGAAGAGAGGTGAGGCCAGGTGCCAGTGGCCGCTTGAACCTGCTCTGCAGCTGGCAGGCTCTATCCCACCCCATCCACCCATCCCACACTGAGCACCACCACCAGTCACCTGGGGCTGGGCCAATGGCCAGTCACCTAAGGACCGGCTCCTACGAGTATTAGTTTAAACCCAACTGGGGTGTGGTCCTGCTATAAATTTTTTTAAATACCCATCATAGTTTACATTGCCTCCACTCTTGTTTTGTATTTAAGACAAAAGGAAGAAATATAAAACAGAGTTATAATCTCGAAGTCAGTTAAAACTGGACTGTGTACTTACAAAGATCATGTCAGACAGACAATTTCTGAAAAGAGAGCTAACTAAGAACAGTTAAAAATGTAGGAAAGGGGGCTTCCCTGGTGGCGCAGTGGTTGGAAGTCCGCCTGCCGATGCAGGGGACACGGGTTCGTGCCCCGGTCCGGGAGGATCCCACATGCCGCGGAGCGGCTGGGCCCGTGAGCCATGGCCGCTGAGCCTGCGCGTCCGGAGCCTGTACTCCGCAACGGGAGAGGCCACAACAGCATACCGCAAAAAAAAAAAAAAAAAAAAAACTGGAACCCTCGTGCACTGCTGGTGGGAACGTAAAACGGCGCAGCGCTGGCTGTGCAAGCCAGTTGGGCTGTTCCTCAAAAAAGCTAAACATAGAATTACCACATGACTCAGCAATTCCACTCTGAGTGGCACACCCAGAAGAAGTGAAAACAAGGTTTTAAACAGATATTTGTATGCCAATGTCACTGCAGTGTTACTCACAACAGCCAAACGGTGGAAACAACCCACGTGTCCATCAATAGATGAACGGATAAACAAAATGTAGTGTGTGTGTGTGTGTGTGTGTGTGTGTGTGTGTGTGTATATACACAATGGAATATCATTCAGCCATAAAAGGAGTAAAGTTTTGATACATGCTACCACATGGATGAACCTTGAAAACATTATGCAGAAACAAAAGGACAAATATTATACGATCACACTCACATGACATAACCAGAACAGGCAAATGAGACAGAAAGTATAACAGAGGCTTCCCGGGGACTAGGGGGTGGGATGCATGGGTGGTTACTGTCTAACGGGTACTGAGTTTCTATTTGGCAGGATGAAATGTTCTGGAAATGGATAGTGGTAATGGTTTGCACAATACTGTGAATGTTAATGCCATGAAGCGCACACTTAAAAGTGGTGAAAATGGCGAAGTTTACGTTTTATATATTTTATAACAAAATGACAACATTCCAAAAACAGTTTCTCTTCAGCCAAAAATAAATGTAGTAAATGAATACAATAGTAATTTTACGTGACCCTCAGAACACCTGAGCTTAGATTTTCCTTGTCAAACCATCCTAGTATACAAATGGCCACGTTTGCAGTACTCTTTGGTGGCATGCCACAGGGCAGGCAAGAGGTTGGGCCAAGGTCAAGGATTCCTACTAGTACTTCACTTCAAATAAAGAAGGAAACTATTTTCTTTAAAGAAAAAAAAAAAAAAATGTTTGTATTGACTGTTGTACCTAGGGATAGGAGAACTCCATCTTTTTCTCCCCACCTCAGGTGCAGGTGGGAATCAACACTTGCCTGCCAGGCCCTTGTTTGGGATCTGGGGCAGCATCTTACCCTGAAGGTCTGCTCCTTCTTCTCCCTGTGGGAAACCTGGTCCAGCGTGCCATCAGTCTGACTCCTTTTCAGGCCAGTTGTGATGTCAGGGACATTGCTGAAATCTGCATGAAAAGTGACAAAAACATAGGCGAGTTTGGCCATCTGCAAAGAATAGTAGTGAATGACTTAGAGGCTCAGAGAAAGAGAGGAAAGAAAAAAGTTAACTAACACCCTAGAAGGCAGGACACCATTGTCCGTAGTGATACTGACGCTACCATATGCATAGCTGGTCTTCTAAAACAGATCCGGGCTCTGGCTAAGTGAAGAAGCACTGCATCTGCCTGTTTTGCATCTGTTTTGCCTGTTTAGCATTTGCCTGTTTTGGTCAAAGGAGGCCAATGACCAATCAAAACACTGACTTAAATGCTTGGCCACTCTTGTCACTGCTGTGCAAACTTCACTAAGTACACTATTATACAGTGTTGGTACTTTCCTTCCTTTATTTTTGGCTAAGTGAGGGCAAAATCCCCAGGGATATCTGGGTAAACCAATGATGCAACACCGTAGATTCTTATTACAGTCCACAAATTGCTCATTTGTGAGCATAATTCTTCTTTTTCTGGCATCGACCACATCCTAAATTGAAAGTCCCAAGAAGAACAGTAAACCTTTGTTAACTTCCAGAGTAAGGGTTAAGAAACAATATAAAAGGTGAGCAGAGCATGTGCCTTTCCAACCTACACTTATACACATATGCCATCCTCAACGGTTCTTTCCAGTGGTTCTCAAATTAACAAATTCAAGAAAGATGGAAAGACCAGCCTCTATCAAAATATTACACAGGGTTTCCCTGATGGCGCAGTGGTTGAGGGTCCGCCTGCCAATGCAGGGGACGTAGGTTCGTGCCCCGGTCCGGGAGGATCCCACATGCCGTGGAGCGGCTGGGCCTGTGAGCCGTGGCCGCTGGGCCTGCGCGTCCGGAGCCTGTGCTCCGCAATGGAAGAGGCCACAGCAGTGAGGGGCCCGCTTACCGCAAAAATATATATATATATATATTACACAGATTTTCATTCTAATTTTTGTATTTGGTAGACTATCCTCTCAACTAGGTGAAACCAGATGGTCTCTGATCTCAGTCAGCCACAAAAAGAAGTCATCAATCTCATACCTGTCTGAGTTGATCTAGGCAGAAAAGGCATGGATAGACATTGGCAAACCATCCAGCATGATGGAGGCATGGACAGTGGTCTCCAGGAGACCCTTAGAAGCTATGGGAGCCCTAGGAGGTTGTTGGAACTCATGGACAGAAATGCTGGTCCATGATCCAGGCTGATACCACCAATCACTACACAAGAGGTGACCTCAAGAAAATGTCATAATGGTCTACAGAATTCTGGAGCTCCAGTTTCTTCTTCCTTTTACTTCTTCTAACACCCTAACCCTGCCCAGAAAAGGACCACGCCGCCTATTTCACATAAGGAGATACAGACAAGGGAGGTGGGAAGGCTTTTATGTCTTAGGTGACTGGGTAGATGGGGAGAGTACGGGCTGGGAGTGGAAGTCACAAGCTCAGCTTTGGCAAAGCTGATCTTGAGATGCATGTGGGCCACCCAGTGCAACACACCCCCAAGTCCAGTAGTGCAAGAAAGGTCTGCACAGGGATGTGGCTTTGGAGCCCTCATCATACACTTGGCAGTGAAGCCACAGGGATGGATGGTGCCTCCAGGGAGCATGTGCAGAATGGGACAACAAGAGGCCCAGGGAGAGAGCCCTGGAGCTGCTAAGGCACAGTGTGCAGGACAGGAGGTAGCTGTCTCTTTAGAGAGAAGCAACAGCCAGAGAAGCACAAAGAAATCAAGAAAGAGCGATGCCACCGACGCCACGCAATGTAAAAATACATTACCTAGGCAACAGAGTCAGATCTGCATTACTGCTGCCTTTACCTTATAAATAAAAAGCTCCAATATTTCCAAAGAGCTGTATTAAGTACAGGAAAATACAACACACAGTCCATGCATTTAGTCGTGATGATGATTTCTACAGCGCCTGCTCTGTGTCAGGTATGTACTACGTTCTGGGGATACAAAGATGAAAGCGACCTCAAGTCCCCTGAAGATCTCAGAGCCGGCACGACCACAAGGAGCCTTGGAGCCCGGAGGCGCCAGATGGATATGCTGGAGAAAATAACATGGCTGATGTCAAAAGCGGAAGCGAATTCTGAGTCATCACTTCAATATATTCACACAACTTTGGAACTTCCTTAAACGCTGGAAATTCCCAGAACCACCTTTCACCTCTTACAAAGGCAAAGTGTTTTCCTGCTAGCAGAACATGCCATGCCCTTCCTCTCAAAATCCTGCTCACCCCAGGACCAAAGGCTTTACTATGAATCGGTGAGGCTCTGCAGCCCCTTAACTTCAGGGAGGCCCTTGGTGTGGCGTGGGTCCTCTCTGAGGCAGGGCTTGGACAGGAAGGATCACAGGACCCAGCTCCCACCGAGGCTGGCCCCGGGGACCCCTGAGAAGGCAGGTCTGCAGATAGGACGTCTCGAGCTGTTCCGCCACCCAAATTTCAAGAGGTTGACAGGCAGCTGGGCATCGACAGAGCCTCGGGGGTGACTGATTCCCCTTCCAACCCCACCAGCAGGGCGCCCGCACTGTCCTGGAGACGGCAAAGCACGAGGAAGCCTAGCTTGACAGCATCCACAGCTGCGGACCTGGGTCCAGGAGCCTCACGTTTCAACTGGACCTGCATCCCTGTCTGTAAAAAGCAGTGTGCCCTTCACGTTCTTTCTAGAGGAGAAATGAGAACAAAGTAGGTTCTGGAAGAACAGAAGAAAAGTGGAGGCCGGTAAAATTCGAATCCTTATTTACAAAGCTCTTTTAAACAGGCACCGCGCTGACATCCTGTCCTGGGCGCCAAATGCCTAGGCATAGCCCCTCTTACACTCTGCCCACATCCTGAGCGCCAGCTGCTAGAGTGAGTAAATACATCCTTCCCCTCCCGGCCCAAAACTGCCTTCCCACTTTGGGAGAGCCTCCGTGTGGCCCTGTTCACTGGACACATGTTGGGGCACTGGATCCCTACTGGGGAACACGGGGCATGTGTTACCAGGGCCGTAACACCGCCCACCCTGGGCTCAGCTGCTGCAGGACAGATGGTCAGACGCACTCCGGAAGAGTCTTTAGCCAATGTGATTGTAAATAATGAAAAATGACAAAATTACAAAGCCAAGTCATCTATTTATAACTGGTAAATACACTCTTTTGTCTTTCTCCTCTCATTCCCCGTGGAAATTAACAATTTGGGGGGAGGACTAGCAATCTGAAACACGTAGCATCTAACTCTGCTGACATGAGCTGTTACTCAGCCGTGAGTGAGCAGAGCCGCGACTTTCCACGTCACAGGCTCTGTTCCTCCATGGGGACCACTCGGTCCATTTATTTATCCCCTGGTCGGATGGGGGCTGAGCACTGCACACCCACAGGGTACCAGGTCCTGTGTCAGATGCCGTACATGAGACCAGCCTCAGACATCTTTCTCCTTTAAAACACTTTTGGAGAGTGACGACACACTGGGCAGGCTATCCCAGAAGGTGACTGCCCCCCACTCTCCTGCACACCCTATAGTTCCCCACAGACAACAAGGGAAACACGGGGCTTCAGGTGAGACACGCCCTAGTCACTCAGTGTCTTCCTGTTCTGGGCATCAGTACAGACCCCACAGGTATCACAGTCGGCCAAGTAACTGGCAACCCCAAACCCTTCATAATTAAAGGTCAAAACATGTGTTCAAGTAACATCCTGGGTATCAACTTAAAAATGGCAACGTTAGGATAAATGCTAAAGTTAAGGTTGCTTCGCCCATACAGCTCACAACGTGAATTCAAAGTCTGCATTTACATCACTTCCAGATCCAGTTTAGCACAGTTAATATGCAGGAGTGTGGGCTTTGCCATTTATCTCCCCCAGGCCTGTAAGCAGCAGCAGGCTATCTGGGTGCTGAGTCTGATGTGTGCAAAGGGGACTTTCAGGAAACAGGTGTCACTGGGGGTCGGGAAGAGGGTTTGGTGGCGTCCCTGCCAATCTCCCACCTGCTGCTTACTCTTCAGGAACCTCTCTGCTCAGCAGGCAGCTAGGATGTTGGGCTCATCTGGCTGAGGCCATCCCATCACCCCGTCTTGCTGGCTGCTTCCTCCTTACTCAACCAGGCAGCAAGGGCAGAAGCAACAAGTCCTTCCCAGGCCCCGACACCCACCCAGGTGGCTGCCAGCAGCGCCCAGAGACACCAGGCAGCCTCTAGCTGCAGGAGGGCGGGCAACGTGCTCTTCCCCGGGCGGCAGCCAGACAGCTGGTTCCCAGAAAGGCGAGAAGTCTGAGCATGCCACTGTGTTCTCAGGAACAGCAACTGTAAGAGGAACTGAGTTAAAATCTCGAGAAGATATCAATCCCGAGGCCAAAAACAAGAAACTAACATGAGAGGAGAGCATTTGTTTCCCCCTATTTAACACAGTAAGACTTTTTTGAGAAATAAATGATGGTAGTCACAGCGTCAGGAAAAGCTCTGCTTCAGTTTGTGGGCTGAGGACTCATTTGAAGGAGACTGAAAGGACAGGCAATGAGAACAGGAATTATTTTGAAACTACACTTTTTGTGCTTCAAAGCATATTGTACACTGATTCTCAATACTATAAGCTCCAAAGCCCCCCTTTTGATAATATATACTTTTACTATCCTGAAATAAAATTCCTTCTTAACGTAATCTATCTCCACACATAATTTCACAAAAAAATAATATATGCCTTAATAGTAACACAAGGCGAAAAATAAATGGAAAGTAACAATTTTTTAAAAAATATGTATTTCAGTATGTAAATGCTAGGGTACAAACACTCTAGAAACCGTGACTGTAAGGAACGGCACCCAGGAACGGAGGAGAGCTTAAACAAGCTTTATTTGGGGACGCTCCCGGGCGAGGTTCACTGGTCCGAGAGAAAGGGGCCAGAGAAGTTGCGCCCGGGCGAGGGTTTGGGCAGAATTTATAGGGGAAGAAGGGAAAGGGGTGTGGTGAATCCAGGAGGGCGCAGGGTATTCCTTATTTGGCGGTCTTTTCGGGTATCGTG